TGTGTGTGTGTGTGTGTGTGTGTGTGTGTGTGTGTGTGTGTGTGTGATGCCAACCCACCCAGAGAGATCCAAAAAAAACCCAAAACAGGAAGAACGGGGAGAGACTGGAAACTCTCTGTTGACTCTGCCACGGTGGAAGGAGTATGGACTGACTGCACGTGTCCCCCTGCATCGTCCAAGCGCATGTGTGTGTCTGAGTCTTAAATGCGTCCGGCTGAAGGGAAGTCATGTCAGCGATACACACCTGGGCCTGTCTCCTCCTCTGGATCTCCTTCGCCACGCAGGACAAAACCCCAGGTAGGACACAAACGCCTCTTTGTCCGGCAGCCTCAACTGATCCGTCTGCAGGGAAACGCTCGCAGGGATCAACAGACCGGAGGGTTTCTCTGCAGAACCTGATACACACATCCAGTCTGGGAAAACTAAACACACACACACACACAAAGAAAGTGTGACTGTTCAGGTTTGAAATGTGTGTCTCGGCTCCATTAGTCAGACGGTTCAGACTTTTCCTCAGAGTTGAATCCTGAGGTCAGGTATGAACTCAGGGTGGAAAAATTCTCCGAACCACAGCAAATGACAGAGCAGCTGAAGTTAAGAGGAAAAACCTGGTTGTGTCTCAACGGACCGTCATTCCGCACAGATGAGTTCACGGTCGACTCAACTTTATCCACCACATCTGCGCTAAAATAATTAAATCATCGCACCTGAAGTCTGAAGTCATGGATCGAAGCGGAGAAAGTTCGTCTCACTTTCCTCTAAACCAACAGAAACACGTGCTGCACAGGCCCACGGCTGATTTATCAGTAAAGTTACAGATCAACCTCAAACACAACTGAACTCTTGAGGGCGAATCAAAGCCCCGAAGATTCCACAAATTCAACAAACGTCCCTACAGCCGAAGCTGCAGCTCGAGCCTCAGCTGCATGTTGGTATAGATACAGGTTTGTGGTTCTATTTGTTAGCGCACAGATAAGAATAGCCTCCACCCTGAGGAAACCACATTCAAACCACATCGACGACAGAACCACACACTTCCACCGAGTTCTGCGTTAATAGTTTTTGAACAATGCTAATTAACAACGAGACGAACGCAGATCAAAACATTATCTCCTCGGTGGAGGTGGAGCTTTCGACTGGAGATCACCGTCACGGAGGCTGAATCTGAAGCCTGATTGTGGCGGAAGACGGTCCCATCTTAAAGAGTCCTTCATCCTCCATCCCCGAGTAATGAAGGATTCGCTCCCAAATCTATCCCAGGATGCATTGCGCTTCGGTCATGAACCTCTTAGGTAACAGTCCAGACAAGAGGTGAGACGTCCTGTGCTTTAGTTTCAGGTTTCGACCGAACGGCTGCGGGACACATGTTAAAGAAGAACGAGGCGTTAAAACGTCGTCCTCGTGTCCATCACTGAAATCAAGACAAAAATACTTCACCACACGTAACAGTGCTGCTTTTCATTTCCAGAGTAAAGGAGTTAAATCAGAACACTTCATCCACCCAGGACTTTTTTAAGCAAACAACTCATTCCAAGGTCAAGACTGAACCGTCAGATAAATATTAATGTTTTATCCAAAATCCATGTGCGCATGAAGCAAAGAGAAAAGCAAACGTCTCGATGTTTGCTAACAGCAGCAGATAAAGAAGGTGCGAGCGTGACGAAGGACGAAGCTGAGCCTGAAAGTCAGTTTACAGAAAATTCAGCGTCATCATATTGTCAGAATCGTTTCTTTCAAAAGTATGTGGTCGTCTGATCCCTGCTTCACTTTCTGATCTGTTCTCTCTGGATCTCAGTGAAGCTGCAGAGCAAAATATTATCTTAAATAATACCCATCCTTCCGTCTGTCCATTTTCTAACGCTTATCCGGGATCGAGTCGTGGAGGCAGCCAGCAGCAAGGCAGGATGTTCCAGACGTTTCTCGCCAAATCCACGACTTCCTGCTCCGCCCGAGGCGTAGACCAGATGTGACATATAGCCCCTCCCTCCTTTTTATCATTTCTATTATTGACAACGACTTAAAGAGAAATTATAAAGACAAGACACCATCGACTCTTCACCACAACAACAACAACACAAACAGGTTTCCAGTGAAACTGACTGAAAATCTTCAATGTATTTCGAGGTAAAACAGAAATTAGTTGGCGAATCTCTGTGAACGAATGAATCTGTTGACGAGGGACAAGATGTTGGATCCGGAAGCTTCTGGTTTCTGTTCCTCAGAACCATCAGGTTGGACCAGGCTTTGGTCGCCTGCTGGTAAACAGAAGAGGTGAAGTATAAAATGCGTCTACGTTCAAATGGCCGCTGATAGAGATTAGCCAGAATGTCGTCTGGACCTAAAACATCTGTTTTGTGTGGGAGAACGTTCGACTTGTAAAAAAATAAACTAGTCGGACTGGAAACATACAGAGAACGGAAGCTGGGATATTCACCGTCTACACCAGACGAGAGATGATGGACTCTGACGTCAAGAGAAACAAGCGATGGTGCTGATTCTCCTCTGAGAAAAAAGAAACCACAAAGATTTGACTCTTTCCCGAGTTTCCTGGTGCCGTTTAAAAGCTGCGTTAATTGAGTCTTTGATTTGATAATAAACTCCTGAGGGAACGTGTGGTTCTGAACGTTTCCCTCTGTTCACCAGCTGCTCTCCGACTGCGTCTGCTGCGGCACACTGACTCTAACAAAGCGTCTCCAGCTGGAGGAGCTGCTGCCGGACACACTGTTGATGAAGTGTGGAGGACGAGGGACAGTCTGAGGAAACTCACTAAAATATGTCTCCGTTGAGTGAAGGTGCACTTACAAGTTGTTTTTCTGGTGATAAACCTGTTGATGAATTAAACTGCAGCTCCAGAAGAGGCTCATTCATGGACTTTGTGTTTTGAGGCCAGGATTTCATGACCAACTCTTTGAACTGCAGAAAATAAAAATGAGCTGGATTTGCCTCCTCGGGCTGTGAAGTCTGCGATAAGCTGCTATCACATATTTGTAAACTCATTTCAATCTACTCACCAATCAGTTCAGGGATTAGACTGAATGTTTGTTTTGTCAAATGACAGCGTGTTTGCAGTTAAAGTTTCACCCTCGGAGCGAACTGAACCGCAGCACAAACCAAAACAAGGGCACGAAAGGTCGCGTCAGGTGGGCTAACGGGTCGGCTGCTCTGTGCCAGGTGTGAGTCAGAGGTTTGAGTCATGACTGTCAAAGTTCTGATCAACAGGAAGAGCAGGAACCAGAGAGAGAACAGCTGTGAGCAGCCAGGACGGAGGCGAGGTGCTGACAGAAGTCCTCAGGGGATACAGTCACTCTGAACGCTCCAGTCATCCGTCTGTCGTCACACCAGTAACCTTCACACACTCGCAAAAACATGTGGATGTGTTTATCCAGCGCGAACAGAGACAAACACTCCGACACCTTCTCGTGGTTTTCTGAAAAGACGCCGGTGAGGGTGTGTGGAATTCATAAACTGCAGAGACAGGAGGAATCTCAGGGGACAAGTTTGTCGCTCACGCTCGATTAGTGATGTCAAAGCAGGTGACGGGTGGTTGAAAGAAAAAAGGAGCAGTGTTGTCGAGAGAGTTCACAACAAAAGGTGAAACATTTGGAAACTGGCAAAGTGAAACGTTTACCCAAACACGAGAGCCGGCTGCAAAACTTGTTATTGGCGCTGGAAGACGCCCAACAGTAACATGTCAGACACGACCACAAATCAAATCCGTCACAACTGAAGCTGCAGCAGCGTCTCAACAGACTTCATCACACATCTTTATTTAAAGCCCATGATGCAGACACACACAGAAAAATTAATACTTATTATTATTGTTAGTCTCCAATCAAACTTTGTTTTTATCGTCTAAGCTTTTAAAACCAATAATGAACTTATTCCACCAGTTCTGGGTTTGAATCCTTCACACGTCTTATTCCTCTGAGCTGCAGAGCTTCACTGTTTCCAAAAACCTGAGAACACAAATCTTTTTATCACTCCTTGTTTTTTTTGTCAAGATTGACTCTTTCTTTTTCGTTGATGAAACTACATATTTGTTTTATGTGTTTTTAATCACATGAATCAGAACAGAACAGAACGTGACGTCTTTCTGTCCGTGAATCACTGATGGAGCCGCCTCCCTCTCACATCCTCCAGCTGCTCAGTTACGATGTTTTGCACAATCCCTCCCCTGGTCGTGACTTTTGCATTTTTAAGTTTTTGATATCTATACTTGCACAAACAAACCACAGCACATTCCCTGTGTGTGTCAACCTGCTTGGCAATAAAAACTGACCCTGATTCTGTCATCACTTGAAGCTGGAACACAAATCACTGAGTTTTGGAGTTTGGGTTCATTGTGTGATCTCACCTGTGTCCTCATGTCAGATGCGACCGTGACCTGCCTTGTTTCGGAGGACTGCGTGCTGCCCTGCAGCTTCCAGCCGGGCAGCCAGGAGACCGTGGAGTGGTTCAGACAGGACGTGCTGGTGTACAAGTACAAGCGGGAAGACGACGGAGACAATGATGATGATGATGATGATGACGACGACGATGATGACGATGGCGACAGCAAGAGCAGCAGCGAGGAGCACTTTGACGACAAGCAGTCCTCCGGGCATGCATCAGTGTTCCAGCACCTGATTTCCCACGGAAACGCCACCCTGATCCTCAGGAGTGGTGACCTGAAGGACAGAGGCACGTACAGGTGTCACGTGCACACATCGAATGGGGAACACGACGCCAAAGTTATCCTGAAGATGGAAGGTGAGTTTAAAAAAGATTCACTTCAACAACATGAAATCAACTCTACGGGTCACGCTAACTTTTTGTGACCTGTGCTACATGGACAGTAAATAAAGATGGACGACGCGTCTCCACTTCCTAAAAAGTGAAGCCAAAATAGCCCAGAAGCAAGTAACTGTGTGTACTATTTACTACATATTGTGTACTGTGTATACTCATGCTATCTGACTGCAGAAGAATGATATCACCCACTGCCAGGCTATATTGGGCCCTGGCATTTAGAGTCTATCATCAGGGGCTGCTGGGAAACATTTGAGCATGCTGTGAGTGTGTGTGTGTGTGTGTGTGTGTGTGTGTGTGTGTGTGTGTGTGTGTGTGTGTGTGTGTGTGTGTGTGTGTGTGTGTGTGTGTGTGTG